TTAATATAATCTTTAAAAAAGCACAATGTATATTAACAATTGTATAAATCACAATGTGAATGAAGGAATGTATGAAATACAATACAGTCTAATAAGACACAATGTATGCAATGTTGCATTTTGTATGCAAGTCTGTATTAATTTTTAAAAAATAAATTTGTTAATGAAAAGCAATCAATCAAGAAGAGTAATCTTCTTCCTCTTCACTCTGATGGGAAATCTGCATTGTCATCAGATACTCCCTCGCTTTGACCTTTAGCAAGAAGGTCCACTGTGGTGTTAACATAGGTTCTACCGTCTCCCTGCTAGTTCACAGTCAGACTTCATTATTAACTGTGAGGCTTTGAGCAAGTAATTTAATCCATAGTTTCTTCATCTGGGAGAAGTGACTGGTAATAATTACTTATTTCATAAAGGAATTAAATCAAACATCCTTGAATAGACAATGTCAGGGCTGCCAACTCCTGCATACATGAAAATCCACGTATACCTTTCTAATTCATCAAAACTGAACTACTCATGATCTACACTGTTGATTTGCCAATGACATAAACAGTTGATCAACAATTATGTTGTATGTTTTTAGTTTATTTCACACATATAACAGCACTTTCATTAAAAGATAAGATTTCTTTTATTTTTTTTTCTTTTAAACAGTTTTCTCCCTCCTCTGTTTCAGTGCAATATACATTATTGAACCCATCTTACTCAGTCTCTCCCCAACCCCAAGGACAGTCCCATTCTACAACAGTGGCATCATGTAATATTTGTCCTTTTGTGACTGGGATATTTCACTCAGCATAATGTTCTCCAGAGTCAACCATTTTGAATAATATTGCATGAGTTCCTTGTTTTTCAATGCAGCATAGTATTCCATTGTGCGAATATACCACAGCTTCTCTAGCCATTCATTTGTTGATGGGCACTTAGGTTGTTTCCAAATCCTTGCTATTGTGAACAAAGCTGCAATAAACATGGGTGTGCATATATCTGCTTGGATGTCAGCTATGGTCTCTTCAGGGTATATTCCCAGGAGTGGAATTGCTGGGTCAAATGGTATCTCTATTTGCAACTTTTTGAGAAAGCGCCATACTGCTTTCCACAGGGGTTGCACCATTTTACACTCCCACCAACAGTGAATCAGGGTTCCAGTTTCTCCACAACCTTGCCAGCATTTGTTGCTTGCTGTTCTGTTAAATTTTGCTATTTTGACTGGGGTGAGATGATATCTCATAGTTGTTTTAATAAGATTTCTTTTAAAGCACAAGGTTTTCGTGCCCAGTGACTTAGCCAAAGCCTTTTTGCTTTTGTTAGGTATCGCTGAGGTGAGGACAACTTATAGTGATCCTATGAACAATAGCTGTGAACCCTGTCCTATCCTGCACCATCCTCACACTTCCTGACACACTAGAGCCCATTGCTGAGGTCATGATGTCAATTCATCTGGCTGAGGGTCGTCCTCTCTTTTACCAACCCTCCACTCCCAAGTAGTTATCCCTCTCTAATGAATAGTCTCTCCTAGCAAAAGAGTTTTTCTGGCTGAAACCTACGCTTCACCAATTTAAAAAATACAACAACCAACTAATTGTCCTTATATGGAATTCAACTATCTTGAAATGGAGGCAACTGGAGCTGCATACAGACAATACATAAGAAACTGACCAAAGAAGGTACATGGTACATATGAAGCAGTCCAACCTTTTATAATTCCTCAATTTTTTTTCTGCTTACTGGGGGCACTTCCAGCATCACTAGTAGAACTGCATGTTGGTCTCGTGGTGCTTTCAAACTTTACAATACTGCACTAAACATGGTGAAAAAATATACAAGAACCACCAGACATTATTCTTTTTCTGTGTTACACAATTTACTCGAGAGATAAACTGTTCACAGAAAGATAATTAGTGTCATACAATGTTTAAAACAACAAAAAAATCCATGTATAAGTGGACCTGCGTAGTTCAAATCCATGTAGTTCAAAGGCCAATTATATAAATAAAGTAGTCAGACAGTATCTTGTATTAAGTTGTTATACGCTATGAGTAGATTTTTTTACTCACAGCAACCTCAGCTAATAGAGCAGAACAGCCCTACAGTGTTTTCTAAGCTATATAATCTTTATGGGAGTTGATCAATACATCTTTCTCCCTTGGATCTGCTTTCAACTGCCAACATTTTTTTTTTGCTTAGCAGCTGAGTGCTTTGTTATGGCTCTTTTACTCATTAAATAATTAATCTGCTGCCTCCTCCTCTGTTTTCTTCTTCATCATCATTACTTATTATGGATGCAACTCTTTGAATTACCTGTGAAACATTCATCTGCATGTTACTCTGCCCACTGCAAAGCCAGACATCTCCAAATAAGACATCATGAATTCTGAGGGTATGGTTCATCTTCGCAAGGTTCTGTTCTGCCATCAGTTCAAAAGGTCCCCCAGGTTTCATTGGATCCAGAACCACCATCCAGACATGAGAGAGTTCTGAAATAACAACAGGGCTCTCAGGAATTAATCAACGAATTTCTGAAAACAAAAATTCAGAAAATCAAATCTCAGTTCTGTCATGCACCACACTCACATATGGCTCTTTCAGTCTCTGCAATAAACTGAATAAAAATTATAAAAACTGATTCCATTTCAGGCAAGGTGATAGAATTAATAAGAACAGTTGCATTTCTTTTCTGTTTAATCTGTACTGATCTTGCCTCACTTTCATATAAGCATTTGCAAGAAACATAACTGGTCAATTGTAACCTTCAATGATGAGCAAAATTTTTCAGCAAAGATACATAAGAACTAAATAATACAATGAATCACCTGGATATCAAGTACACAAATAGGACATTCTTCCTAATAAGAATGCAATATACAATCTTCTCCAGTGCACACAAAACATTCTCCCAAAGAGACTATATGTTAGAACACAATATAAACCTCAATAAATTTAAAAAACACTGAAATATTACAAAGCATCTTCTCAGATCACAATGTTATAAAATTAGAAATCAACAAGGAGATCAAGTGCATGAGAATGAAATAACACCTTCTTGAGTACTGCTGGGTAATAAAAAAAATTAAAAAGAAACGTTCTGAAGCAAAAACGTTTTGAAAAAAAAATGAAAAAACACAACATTCCAAAATTCAAGGAAGCGTAATTAAACAATGTAAAATAAAAATTATTGTTATACTATCCAACAGTCAACATAAACATAACGATAATCCTTTAGATTTACAGTGTCCCAACCTAGCATATCCACTCAGTGTAAGTACCAAACCAAACCCACTGCCATGGACTTGATTCTGGCTCACACTGTAAACCTTAATGGGAGGACACAGTTCTCCTGTCCTCTGCAGAGCAGCTAGTGGACTGAAACTGCTGACCTGTAGGCAAGCAGCCCTACATACAACATTCAATGCTACCAGGGATCCTTAATGTAAGTACTGGTTGAAGAAAATAATTTATAACCTGAAACTTACCCATATTTGGTAGTATCTTTCTTGTTATCCATCCCCACTTCTTCCCCATACTGTTAACAAGGATTAACACTACCATTGGAATGCATCAGGAATGCATCCTATCTCTATACCTTTTCAATCTATATGAGAAACAGATCATACCTTGTCTCCATATTTTTTCAATCTATATGAGAAACAGATCATTCAGGAGGCTTTACAGGCTTTATGAGGAGGAATGTGGCATCAGAATTGGAGGAAGACTCATCAACAACCTGTGTTACACAGATGACACAACCTTGCTTGCTGAAACGGAAGAAGACCTGAAGCACTTGCTGGAAAAGGTCAAGAACTGCAGTCTTCAATATGGATTGAAGCTCAACATCAAGAAAACAAAGATTCTCACCACTGGGCCAATTGGCAGCACCATGATAGATGGAGAATAGACTGAGATTGTTAACAATTTCTGCTTGCTTGGCTTCACAATCAACACTCTTGGCACCAATAGTCTGAAAATCAAAAGGTTGACTGTATTGGGAAAATCTGTGTTAGGGGCCTCTCCAATGTACTAAAGAGCAACAATGTAAGTCTGGAGACTAAACTGTACCTGATCTAGGCCATGGTCTTTGCAATTACTTGCTATGCCTCACAGAATGGCTAACGATGACAGAAGAAGGATTGATGTCTTTGAGTTGTGGTGTTGGAGATGAGCTGAACATTCTATAGACTGCTAAGAGAACAAACAGCTTTGTCCTGGAGAGGGTGAAACCAAGTTGCTTCTTGGAGGCAAGGATTTTGAAACTGTGGCTCACATACTTTGGTATGTTGCCAGGAGGGATCAGTCCTTGGAGAGGACATCATGTTCAAAAGGGTGGAGGGACAGAGCAGTGAGACAGGCTCAGGATAAGACAAAGTTCAGAGCTATTGTGCATATGGTTGCTATGGGTCATAGGCGACTCAACAGCATATAACAATAATAAATTGGGCAAAAAAGACAATAAATTACTGTTGTTGTTGTATACTGTACTTGTTTTTGTTGTAGTACTTGGGACAACCCACAACTGAACCTCCAGTAGGTTTTCAGAGGCAGTCAACTACACAGGAGGAGACTAACCATCTTTCTCCCATGAAGCAGCTGGTATATTCAAGCCACAAGTCTTTGAGATGGCAGTGAAGCTCTCTGTGAAGATACTTAACTGTTTTTAGAGTTATCTACAAGACTCAATTCTCGGACTCAATTATGGAAATAAAATGCTATCTAAAACCTTATTTCAGAAATTTATAGCATATTCCTTAGGAACCACCCACCTACCACCTTCCTACCTCTCACCCACTCATGCCACCACTGCCAACATCATACTCATAAATTAAAGGAAAATACCTTTAAAATGGTAAAACTGTGCCTCAAAGATCCAAATAACAGGAATGAAGTTGAAGAAATGAGAGTAAAGAAATAGATAAAATAGAGAAATGAATACTTTATATATTGTTGGTATGTTGCCAAAGATTATGAACAGGTTTAAAATCAATGCCCATAACACTCATATAAATTCAAAGTGGATAAGTGGTAAAACTTGAAATGGAGCATCCTAAGACATTCTATCCAACCTATAATAAACAATAGTTATAACAGCAAATATTATCTGCCTAGTGTGTGCTAGACACTGTGCAAGAGCAAAGAAGCAGCATGAAAAGATAGTAGTAAATTCTCAAATAATGAAGGATTGCACAGAGTCCTAGGAGAAATCTACAAAATCTCTGAAGGTGTATGTTTGCTCCTCTTTAAAAAAGCAGGGCCTGTACCCAACCCCTGAGAGCTCAATCAAGCCCAAAGACCAAATGTTCACTAGTATTGTTTCTACACCATCAATAGTCAGACAACAACATATTAAATATATAATTCACCTAACGCAGAAAAATCACTGTTTTGGAAACAGTGGGCAGCTAGTCCAGATTGTGTCGCACAGGTGTGATGTGCTCCGTATGGCTCACACTTCTGAGCAGGCAGACACTCCAATCTGTCCCAAAGACTGTCTTGCCAAGGTCTTTCCAGGCTTCTTGCACTGACATATCTTACTATTTCTCTGTCCTCTGATATCAACATTACTCATTTATCATGAAGAGGCCAACTCCAGAAAACACAGCACAGGACTACTAATTCAGCCTTTTACTCTCAAACAATCTATTTCAAGTAACTGCTATTAGGTATTTTCAGTTAACCACAATCCAAACAATATGGCTGGTGAAGAAATTATCCTCATTAGAAGTTTCAAAAAAGTTTTGCTGTCAGTGGTGGGTGTAATAGTATCCTCCCAAAAGTGATGATTATCCAAAATCTGTGAGCATCACTTCATATGAAAATATGGTTATTGCCAATGCAGATCCGTTAAGATGAGGCCACCCACAATAGTTTAGAGTAGGCCTTAACTGTGGAATGTATTAAGTATAAATACAGGAAAACTAGAAGTGGGGAAAAAATTAAATGGAACACATAACCCTAGACGTTAGTTAGTGGAGATGGGATGGAATCAGCAACTATGAATCAGACAATCATATGTGCTATTTACTAATGCCAGTAATGAAAAGTTGAAAAGGAATGGTGTTGCATTCATAGTTTAAAAAACAGCTGCAAGATCTATCATGATACAGTTATCTAGGAGCTCTTACAGCAGCGTTGTCAGGCTGCTCTAGGCTGTCACCATCACTTTCATGGTGAGAGGTGAGGTATCTGTTGCCCACCATGTGAATGGGGATTGGTGTGCCCTTTGCCGCAAAGATGGAGGGGACTTTGTCCATATTTAGGTACTGAAGCACCAAGGAAGGAATCTGCTCCCAGACAGTTATGACTGCAGCTTCTATCACCAATATAGTTCTCTTAGTCCAGTTGGCTTGGATAAAACATTAGTAGATGATAAATAAATGGTGATTTCTTTGCTAATACAGTAGTGGATGCTGTACTTGCTATTAAATACATTAATAAGAGAGGTCAGCCTTGCTATCTAGTCAATTCTGTTAATGTTCTGAAGGCACACAGGAGAAGTCAAGTGGAAAGTCTGCTGATCAATAGCTACACTCAACTGCATAGTAGGACCACAGGGCATGCCCAAGAGAAAAAGAAAAGTTGTTTGCCTTGACTTTAGCCTGCAGAAAACAAAAATGAAGCTTGGTGCACAAGTGGATTTTGCAGACCCAGAAAAACTGGACCAAATCAGACAGAGAGAATCTGATATTACCAAGGAGAGAATTCAGAAGATCGTGGCAACCAGGGCCAATGTGATTCTAATCACTGATGGCATTGAATGACATGAGTCTGAAGTACTTTGTGGAGGCTGTTAGAAGAGTTTTTAAAAGAGATCTTAAGCACATTGCTATGGCTTCTGGAGTGACTATTCTGTCAACCTTGACGAATCTGGAAGATGAAGAGATTTTTGAGGCTTTACTGTTAGGATAAGCTGAAGAAGTAGCATATGAGAGAATCTCTGATGATGAACTGATTTTAGTCAAAAACACGAAGTTCTGTACATCTGCCTCCATCATCCTGCACAGGGCCAATGATTCCATGAACAATGAGATGGAGCACTCTTTGCATGGTGCTCTTTGTGTAGTGAAGAGAGTTGTAGAATCCAAATCTGTGGTTCCAAGTGCAGGTGCTGTGGAAGCAGCTCTCTCCAAATACCTGGATAACTATGCCACAAGCATGGGGTCTCGGAACAGTTCATTATTGCAGAGTTTGCAATTCCAAACACAGTTTGTTATTCCAAACAAAATCACAGTTATTCCTGCCCAAGATTCCACAGATCTGGTTGCAAAATTAAGAGCCTTTCATAATGAGGCTGCAATTAACCCAGAACAAAAAAAAATATCTAAAAATGGATTGGTCTTTATTTGATCAATGGCAAACATCATGACAACAAACAAGCAGGGGTATTTGAACCAATCACTGTCAAAGTGAAGAGCTTCAAATTTGCCACAAACGTTGCCATTACCATCCTTCAGACTAATGATCTTATCAAATTACACACAGAAAG